ACAGGTGATTGGTATAATATATAGGTGATTGGTATAATATATAGATGATTGGCAATCGTATATTGAGAACATGCGTAGTGTCCATGTCGAGGTGGATATTTCAACCTAAAGTTCCACTGTTTTAGATTGATGGATTTCCAAAGATACTAAATACCTAAAGTAAAATTGGAACGCATGCAATTACCAGGTTCATTCCATATCAACTTTCTTCAATTGTTCAAATGTATCATTCCCAAATCTCCCATTCAATTATATGTATATGCAATGCCACATGCTCAAGACGTTTGAGAAATAAACCACACTATAAGCTCGCTGGATTGTAAATTATACTCACGTATGTGCGGAATGTTTTCTGTCGTTGGTGGCATATAACTGGATACAATAGTCAGGAAAACAAACTGGGATAGAATGCTAGTAACACACAAGGTAATCCTTTCTCCTGAATCGGACGGTAAGTAGAAGCCCACGCAAATTAAAATACTCGCAAGGAATGACGGGAAAATTATGTTCATGACATAGAAGTTCGATCGACGTTTGAAGTGGAGCGTATACGTCACATCCGGGAAGGGCTCGTCACAGCAGACATAGTGAGCAACATTGCGTTTTATGTCCATATCTCCTAGTAACCACTCGCCGTTATTGATAAAGCGTTCAATGTTACTCTCATTACTTGGAAGGACATCCAAGTACCCGCCATGATAGGTCCACGATGCAAACTTCATTTGACAGGTTTGTTCGTCGTACGGGAAGAACGTCGCATCGATGGTGCAAGTTGACTGAACGACAGAGAATTGTAACGCGACCACCGTCCCATCGTAGGAGACAATAGCGTCTGTATCAAAATGGCGAGTGAACAGTTCGCTGATACTAGTAATAAAATAAAAGCACTAACTGATTAATAAGTATATTACATTCAACAAAAATACACCCAAATTGCTCGATCACATGTAGAGAATTTAACCACACTACAACTTACCTAGTAAACAATACCATATCCGGTTGCCATATATTAGAGATATGTATCTGTATTTCTTTAATCCCACCGAAATCGTCAGGATCCCATGTCAAATATTCATCTGTCCACGTCTAAAATGAGAAGAGATCCAAAATTATAGTCAATTCGTTCGTAACAACACAATTGAATAAAATAAATAATATTTATTACTAATATAATATAATATATATTGATTTCATGAAAAACAATTCGGCTCAATCAGAACAGCCTGAAGCGTGGCAAACTTGCTATTAATATGCGAACTGCAAATGCAGATTGATTTGAATGACAATATAGTAGTTGGTACCAGATCCTAGAACATCGTACATCGGTTGCAGATCTGTCCATTCGCCAGACAAAAGACCCGGGTTAAATTAAAGACATCAGCCACAGAAAATATTCACACTACACAACAAATAAGTAAATGAGGTTTTTTAAAAGAACTATTTTCTGGCCAATAGTGTCATAGATTGTAAGTTCTCAAAACAAAAGAACACAACAATGTGGCCATAAAGGGCATAGTTTA